TTTTTTTTTTGTTTTCCATTGAGGCCTGTTTGCCGAGAGAGATTTCTGTACAATCTCCTTCACTTTTTTCCTGATAACAGAGATTACAGAAATGTGTTTGCTGTTAGTTTGAATTCTTGTTTTATTTGGAGGGAACCGGCCTCAATTATGACCTTTTAGTAGAAAGCAGAGTGTGATTCATCAAGGTCCCAGCACTGGCTGGGGTGGAGTCGTGGGTGAGGAGGAGCCCAGGCAAGGTGGCAGTCACCAGAGAACACTTCTCATGGCAAAATCGTGTGGTCATTGGATTTTCATAAAACACAGCAATCAGTGGCACCTTTAAAGGGGGAATCCCCATCCTGGTCCTTTGGTTCTGTGACCTTGTGTTGAAACTACGCAGCCTCTGAATTTTCCCATCACTCCTTTGAATGCTGAGGAGGCCAGAAGTCACCACAGGTTGGCCTGTGAAGCACAGCTGTTGTTCCTAATTCTGTCACCAATTTCAATGCCCATGTTCTATCCATCATGGAAACTGATCAAAACTAAGCAGCACTTCTTGTGAGAGTCCATGCACAGAGAAGAGAATCATGCAATCCCACAATGGTTCGAGTTGGAAGGGATTTTAGGATCATCCAGTTCCAACCCCCTGCCATGGGCAGGGATGCCACTCACTGGAGCAGGTTGCTCAAGGCCCCACCCAATATATGAGATGAAAGAAATGGCTGTGGAATTGTTCTGTTGGGTGGCTGGTGTGGAGGCCACCATGACAAAGGTGTTTCTTTCCAGGATTTGTCTGCAGACCGTCAATCGGGCTCTTAGGGATCGTATTCCAGAAGACAAAATGCAGTTTGTACAAATAAATAACAGAGTTATTCCCAATGTCATTTAATTCTGGTTAATATCCTGTTAAATATTTAAAAAAATAGAACCAGCAAGACTGGGAACTCCTCTAAAGTTTAAACCAGCAAATAATAGCCATTTGTAGAGTGATTGATTTGCTGAGTCTTACTGAGTGCTTTAAATATATCAGGGTCAGGTTATCTGTGCCAACCCAAAATTCAGATAGGAGGCTTACGACATGTAGATATGGACTTGTTCGAGTCATGAAGGAAAGTTCTGTCAAGTGTTTCCCACACCTCCAGCAAGATATAAAAGTTGAAGGTCTCTGAGATTTCCCCATGTTTTATTCTGCTGCGTCTTATTCTCATCCGAAAGAAAAATGAAGAGACTTGTGAGTATCTCCATTTCTGTTGGACTTTTAATACTGTATGTTCCTAATTCTTAGAAACAAAAGGAGAGAGGAGAAGATGCTCAAGTAAGTGGTACAGTACAGGGTACAGTGTGTTGTTTCTTTGGTGGTTCAGTAAGAAACCTGTATTCCTTGGGTCAGTGCAGTCTGTTGCAGCATCACTTGAGCAAAGAGTGAAGAAATGGTTACCATTCACAAGGGGAGTTTATCTGTGATTTAATAATTGCAGTTGTAGAGGCAAATCAAGAAGTAACAAGGCATCAAGGAGGGACTTCTGAAAATACAAAATAATTATTGGTTAAGTTATTCTACTTTTTCAGTTACAGGCAAAAGAAACCGAAATAGCGAGAAGTTTGCAATGGAAATTGTTTTCAACTAATATACATGTTAAATGGGTCATTTTTCAAACTGATGCTACAGCTGCTGCCCTCAGTTCATAGTGTTTTGAAGTCACTGTCTGGTGTTTTGCTGAGTAAGATGCTCATTCCTTTTACAGACTGCAGTCCTTGTTTTGCTGGGAGTCTTCTGGGCTCAGACTTCTACACTGAACGTAAGCAGATGATGAACCTTCTCCTGAATGTGCTCATTTAAAATGTATTGGATCCCTTGGCAGGGGGAATAAAATAGGCAGAAAAGCACAGAAGGAACTAAGAAGTTGGTTATTGCCAAAGAAAAAGAGCTTTTGCCAGAGGTGACAGTCAAGGCAAAGAGGTGGTTCTGTGCAGGTGCAGAGTAAAGGAAATCTGGGGAACACAGGTGCCCTCAGCTCCTGCTAAAATTTGGAAACTGGTGCAGTGTCCTGCCAGTCCCAGATGACTGGCACGTCCCACTGTGGTTTTCCTCAGCCTGCAGGAGGGCCCGTTGCACAACTAATCTTCACCTCAGGAGCCTCCTGAGACTGCTCGAGGGTTGTGAAGGGATTTAGTGTTTACCTAAAGCAAATTGGGTTTTGTTGCACCTGCTCAAGATGAAGGCAGATGATGAGCAATGACCCTGTGTTGTTTGCCACAGACCTTTGTGCTGCGGGAGCCTGGCACTAACTATGTCACTGGGACCATGACCATCCACAATGAGGAGCACGTCGTCGACGTCCACGTCCGCTCCGGCGTCTACTCCTCCGACACCATTTTCGACTACTCCCGCGTAAGTAAAGCAAAGAACCGGCCTCCACTTCATCTCTGAGTAAGTTTTTAAACTCAGAAATTATTTTGGTCTATTTTCACCACGTACTGCCCTGAAACCCGTTTCTTTGAAGCCTCCCATCGCCTTTCCCCTCTTAGGCCATCTCCTTGTCTCATCCATACAATGGGTTGGTTTAAAAGGCTTGTAATGAAACCTGCAGTGGCACTTCATGACAGTGAGAAGAATGTCACTGGCCTTGAGGAGAGCAGAGTTGAAGATGGGCTACCAGCACTCAGGTGCAGCAAAGTCTGCCAGAAACAATGCTTCCAGTCTTACAGACAGACACTGGGACAGGCTTCCATTCCCAGGGGTGACAATGTAAATGCAGAGTCATCCCACAGCAGCCTGTGTGGCCACTCAGGGTTTCTTCTGGATTGCCCTAAAGTGGAGACCATCAACCAACAATCAGTGTTAGCCACTTTCAGTTAAACATTTAACTGTCATTCTTTTCGTCCCAGGGGTATATTGCCACCAGGCTGTTCTCCCGAAATGCCTGCTTTATCATGAAAATCAAAAAGGAATACATCCCCGAGCTGCAGGAGATCGGACGGCTGGCGTTTGAGAGACGGGTGAGTCTGCAGTGAACCCCTCACTGCTCACAAGGAGGGCAGGATGGGTGGGGTGTGATGGGAGCCCCCCACTCTGCCTCCAAAAACAGCTGCTCTGTTGCTGTCTTAGCAATGATGGAGCTGATCTGACAAGATAGAACTTCCAGGGAATATCATGTAGAACATTCTCCTGAGATAATGAACAATCACGGCCCCCCTGCAGTTTTAAAGTAGGCTGTCAAAGTGTCTTGAACTGTACAATCCCCAGTGCTTGAAATGGATGTAATTTGACTATTTTGAGGTGATCACAATATAAGTCTGGGCAGACTTGACCTTTTTTTCATTGTCCTGCTGATATTTTGAGCTTGACATAGCTTGAATTTTTTTTTTCTGCAGAACAGAGCTTAGAGATCAATTTATTTTGACCAGACATTGACTTCCCTATTCAGACTGAGGTTTCAGAATGTGACTGGAAGTATTTCTTGGAGATGGTCTGGAGTTCTGGCCCGTTTTGTGCCAACCCAGCAGTAGCACATTTACAGCAAAACTTACTGCCAATTAATGTAATTCAATATGGCAGAAATACAGCTCAGGTTTGCTGTGTTGGCAGAATTATTATCTAGTGAATTTTGTTTCTGAATAGATTGAAAATATTTATTTCTCTTTAAAGGCATGGAGCTTCTTTAGCTAATGTTTTTTTGTGAGGCAAAGGAAGGTGATTTTCGGTTTGGGAACCAAAGCTACATCACTCATGCTGTGTAACCTCTCCTTTTCAGACCATGAAGGATGTTTACTCTCCAAATAATGTGTGGACCCTGTTTCAAACTGGCAGTTCTGTGCTGGGGCGTTTGAAGGACTGGATTCTCTATGGCAAACACATTGAAAAACTCTGCTCGGGGCTGCCCCTCTACCAGCTCACAGCCACTGAACGTGAGTCACAGATCAGAACGCTCTGCTCTGGTCCAGTGCACAACCTGCCCCTCAAATCTTCCTGTCCTTTAAGTCCTTGTGGTACTTTGAGCTGTGCAGACATTTCCTCCCACTCAGTTACACCACAAATGTTTGGCGCAGTTTTGGGACCGACAGGAGCCTTGAACAGGGGATTGAGATTTTTTCCTGACTGGATACAGGGATCTCATCACTGATCATATCTTCATCTTCTTGTTTCTTGTAGCACAAGAGAACACTGATGGCTGTGCCAGTGCAGGAATTCCGAGTATTTTGGGCCTTAAAATCTGTGAACAACTCATTGCAACTGGATCTTGACATCCCTGCTGCTAGGAATTGCCTGGTTTCTTTGCATGTTTTTCTGATAGAGACCATGTTCTCCAGCTGGAACAGAGCTCGGGTATGAGGCTCAACTTGCCTTTTCAAAGCTTTGATGTATGACAAAGCTATGATATACAAATAAAGATAATGCTTTAATAATCGAGTAAAATGCTTTGCCCTTTTTATTCATCCAAAATCAGAACAGAATTAAAGTGGGCCTTGCCAGTTTTCCTGCAGAAGAGACACATTTCCCTTTGGTTTGCTGCTGTGCTCAGGCTGCAGCGTGGCCCAGACATTGCTTTTGCTTCACATCAGTGAAGAATTAGAAGCTGAAGAGTGGAGAACTTCACTTTGGCATCAGCCTCCAGCCTCTTCAGGTGCTGATTCACCTTAGGTACAACTGCTGGAGGGAGGGAGCAAACAGAGTGAACGGAGACAAAGGAAGGGAACAGATCAACATTGCCAACGTTTGCAAATAAATGAATTGAATTCTGTGGGGCCAGTGGGAGTTTGCAGCGGTTTGAATGAGTGCAGAGAGTTTTGCCATTTTCAAACCTAGATAGAGGAGACTGTCCCAGTCCTGAACAATTTGTCACCTGGAATGAAGTCTCCCTTTCACACAATGCCAGGGCAGAGAGAGCTGTGACCACTTGCTGAGAGTCCCACATTGGAGAGTCGTTTGTGTCAGGGGTTGATGGAAATAAGGATGAGGCAGCACTGCTGCCACCTCCCTGCTCTTGTGCTAATCCCAAGGAATGGTGGAACTCCCACATCCTTTCCATCAGTGCTTGGAAAGGGTGGATATATTGGGGCTGAAGACTGAATATTTACTCTTTATTGGAGCCTTGGGCGGCTGCCAGAGAACAAGACATTCCTTTGGAGAAAACCGGCTCCAGGTCTGCAAGTTGTTATTTTCAAATCAGACTCCTGGTCAAACCATCTGCTATTTATTAAAGGAGTATTTTATCATATGGTGAAAGTTGTCCTTTTGGATTATTTGTATCCAGAACAGGCTGCGGGTTCTTGGTGAGCCAAAGAATGTTTCTGGAGACTCAAATTTTGGTAATTGAATCCAGGAATACTTGTTTTATGTTCTATGAACTCTGAAACAAGCCTCAATATACCTCATTATCTGCCGTTGAATTCTGAGTTAGGGAGTTGTGTTCCTGCCCTTCAAGTGCTCAAAAATGGAAGAAGATTGTTTCTAGCTTTAATTTTAGTTGCCAGTCTCATTGTATCAGTCAGGCCTGTGAGGAATATATTTGCATTTTGACTGCTGTGTTTGTTGTTTAGTAAATAAAGCTCCAGCTCTCCATCCACCCACAGCACCTCCAATGCCCACGTGTCCAGCTCACAGGAAACTTCTGGGTGCAGAACCCTGAGGCAAATCTGTTGTGGTGTTTCTGCACCTTTTGGGGTCCAGCTCACAACTAAGACAGAAGGAAGTGCAGGAAGAATCATAAACCAAACAACCCACCTGGCCATGTTCTGCTTCCCCCAGTGTTTTACAGGATGGTCTGTTCCCACATGAGCACACATGGGCAAGTTGCAGCTCTGAATTTACTGCCCTTGAGCCCGGGCTTGTTGGTATCACCAACAGCCTGAAAGGTCCTGCTAGAAAAGGCTGCAGAGCAAAAGAAATTTATTCCCAATTTAAAATAACTAATTACAGGGCGAACAGGAATGTACACCCAACTCTGAACAAAGCAGAGAAAAGGACATATGCAGGAGAAAGAAATTTGATATTTTATTTATTGACACTGTATTTGCCCTTGTGATTTCCTGCCATTTCACTCTTTGCCGACTAGGCCACAGTTTACACTATGTCCTATGTAACTGTATTACACTATAATTAATCTATTTTTCTTATCTTGCAGGTGATTGATATTATTACTAAACTACAGGGAAAGACCAAGGAGGTAAAAAGCAACAACAACAGGTAAAGTGTCCCTGAAGATCAGGTCCATCTGTTGCCTTAAATAACTGTAGCCTGAAAATGTTGGCAATCTTTAAATCAGTCTATCAGCAAAGGGTCTGCTCTGAATGGTCATGATCCAAAGGAAATCACAGAATCATGGAATTGTAAAGTTTGGGAAAGACCTTTAAGTTCACCAAGTCCAACCATCAACCAGCACCACTAAACCACTCAAGTGCCACATCCAAATGTTTTTTGAACACCTCCAGGAATCGTGACTCCACCACTGCCCAGGACAGTCTATTCCAATACTTAACAACCCTTTCCAGGGCGGAATTTCCCCAGTATCCAACCTGAGCCTCCCCTGGCACAGCTTGAGGTCGTTCCCTCTCCTCCTGTCCCTTGTTCCCTGGGAGCAGAGCCTGACCCCCCCAGCTCCCCCCTCCTGTCAGGGAGTTGCAGAGCCAGAAGGTCCCCCCTGAGCCTCCTTTTCTCCAGGCTGAGCCCCCCCAGCTCCCTCAGCTAAGTTAATTCTAAGTTAATTCTAAGTTAATTCTCAATTAACTTAGACATGCTCTATATGATACAAAACATCTGTCCTAGACCCCCTCGGGTATCAGTAGCTTTGGGAGTTGTCTGTTGGGGAGGATCTTTTTGCATTGTGATCCATAAGATTTTCCACTGGGATGGATGGAAAATTCCCACTGATTTCCATGGGAGGCACCCACTGCAGCCCTACACCTCAGGAACAGTGGTGGAGTCATGTTCTCAGGAGCAATTGGAGCGTGGCCCGATAACCGCCCAAGGTTAACGTGCAGGTGGAGAAGGAGAAGTTTGTTGGCTCTAAGCACAAGGTTAACACCTTGGAAGCAGCAGAGCCACTGGTATCTGCACCAGGAGAGGGGCAGGGCTGCCCTGATCCCACCAGCACTGCAACCCAGAGCTGTCCCAAAAATGAAAAAGGAGCCAGTGCACCAGCTCGGATCCTAAAAACATATTGACTGAAAGGGTCCAGGGAGGAAGAGTGTCAGGATGTGACTCATGATCTTAGAAGTTACCTGATCTTTTCACGAGTTTTTCTCCACCAAAGTAATATGCACGTTTTGGAAGTTTACCTGCCTTCTCAGTCAGGCTTGTTCTGTAAAAAGTGGGGAATTTGTTTTTTGTAGAAGAGAGCTCGGTGGGAGCGTGTCTGGGTGTGCCTGAGGGAGTACTTGTGCCTGTGCATTGGTAAATTAAAACAATATAGGTCCCTGGCTGGGATATCAGGATAATGCTGATTGTTTGCTCCCAATTTTTTTTAAAAAGCCTGTAAGGTGTTTGAAGGCACGTCTGGAATCCAAGCAATGGTATCGTTGGATGCCACTGACAGGCAGCTGAAACATGTCAGGCATTTGGGGCAGGCAGGATGAGCCTAAACTGGTCACATCTCCACCTCTGTGCATTAAACTTCCCTGATCCCTGTGGGCAGGAAACCTCTGTGGTCCTTCACTGCCAAGGACAGACACCGATTTTTCTGGTCACCTGTGCTGCACATTAATCCAAGATGCTTTCACCCCTGAACCCATTCCCAAAAACCTCCCAGCTCCTCAGTTTCCCAGGGTACAAGGCTGTTGACCAAGGCCAGAGTATGACACCTTCACCAGTCGTGATCATTTCAAAACCAGGGCTCAGTGTGGAAACTCTTACCTGGAGAGCAGCACCTTTTTAATTTAAGGCACTGCTTACATCAGGAGCAATGGCAGGTTTTCATGTGTCTTGTCTGAGATGTGAAAGCAAGTTTTCCAGTTAGTATCAAGTCATGAAAAGGCACAATTACTAACACTGGTAAATTTTCTCTTACAGGAAGAATTTTCACTGGCAGAATAAAATTAAGCCAGACTGGAGAATCAAACCTGCTGTTTAAAATCAGAATTGTGTGGGCTGGGCTGGCAGGCCAAAGGTGTGAATGAGTGTCCTTGTCTGCTGGGTCTTTCCACCCTGTTTGGACTGACAGGGCATAGTTGTGAGGGGAAAAAAATCATCCCTTCGTTTCAGAAGGCAAAGAGCTTTGCCTTTGGAGTGGGGGTGTGTAACCAGCAAGGAGCAAATTGCTGTGGCTGAGCACTGAACAACACAGCAAGATCCACATGCAAGAGGAAAAGAGGGAACATTCCTCAGTTCAGTTTGACTCAAGGTGCCTGACCGTAAATACTCAGATTATAAATTATTAGGAGGTGAGCTGGGTTTTGCACCGTTATTTTTTTAAACTAAGTGGTTGTCTTAGCCAGATCTCCAAGGAATACAGCCCAATCCTGGTGGACACATTGGTCTTTACTCGAGCAAAGCACGAATGAGATTCCCACTGACCGCTAGATGGCAAATTGTTACAGCAACCTCAACATGTGGTTTTCTTACTGCAGTCTGGATCTTGCTGTCATTAGGCTGGTAAAAGCACCAATTAGGAGCAAAGCATAAATTTAAAATAAAATGCAATTAATCCCTATCAACCTGTTCCACAAAAAATAGAAGTGGAGTCAGGATACAGGGGATTAGGATTCTTTCTTTCAGATTTCTCAACCAGTGTAATGTTTATTTTCACATGTAATTATTCCCCACCTGGTGATTAACTAAACGAATTGTTGATGTCTTAATATTTTTAATTTTTCTCTCTAATAGATATAGGTATGTATATATTCCATTATATAATAAGACATTGCATTTGCATGAGGTTTATTAAGCAAATATTCCAAAGTGTTCCACGTAGCAAAGATTCCCAAGCTCTAATGTGAATGAGTGAAGTCTTTTCCCTTTCAGAACAGGGACACAGCAACGGGTTAAGGATCAATCTGACAAAGGCCAGTCTCAGGCTGACCCTGAGCACAGGTAAGGGGGGGCAGCCCCAACACTCCTGAATTTTTATCTCTCTCCTTAACACCACCCTGTTGCCACCAAGAGAAATCCAAGCAGCCTCCTGTGTCTCTGCCCCTGCCCAGTGCTGCTCAGCCAGGCTCCTTCCTTGGGAATGAAGAACCCACAGAGGGGTTATGTGGCTTTTGATGTGGGGTTTTTTGGAGGACACCAGGGGAAAAGGGGATGGAAAACTGGCTGGAATTCTGTAGCCAGGTCTCTGTTCCTTGCAGACAGGTCCTGCCAGTCATGGTCACATCCTCTCACACTTCTGCAAGTCCTTTTCTTTGCCCTTTCTCTAAGCTCGG